TCAAGCACATCAACATACGTGTTATCAACAAATAATTTTCTATTTCTTATGTCTTCTATATTTTGCCTTTTTTTTTGCCATCCTTGATTCCCTATCCCTCACCCTGTGCCATGTCCCACCCTCCTCCCACATTGTTTCTGGTATCCATGGTTGCTTTCTATGCCTTCCCCCCCATTTAATTGATTTGCTAATGAACTTAATTAGTCTAAATATTTCCAATAGCAAGCGCAGCTGATATATACCTATACATGAACCCAAGTCTGACTTTAGGTATACACTTCAGTGAGTAGAATGAACACACTATAATGTATATAGCTGGGGCTATATAGCTTACTGCAGTCATCAAATATGCATTTCTTTTTTTTTTTTTTTTATTTTCAATAAGAACAGTCTTACTGTTTTTTTTTTTCTCCTGAAACTTTTTTTTTAATTACTTAACATTCAATCCCTGAGGGATTTTATTTAAGAAATCTCTGAGGGTCAGTGGATGGCATAGTAGTTAAGGTGTTGGACTCCCACATGGCCAACTGTGATTTGAGCCCCAGATCTGGCTATTTGAAATCTATATTGGGTGATTATGAATGCATACCCAAAATCCCAGGAGGAGAAAGGATGATAAGGAATTGCATCATGACAATTTCTCTGGGGCATGACTTCTCACTTTCCCTCTTGCTGTCTCTGTCTTCCTCTCCAGTGAGTGCATGTGCCCTATGGAAAAAGACTTAAAAACAAAAACAAAAAGGAAAGAAAATTTTGCTGACCTCAATATCTTGGTGTTTTCCCTAAACATTTCTCAAGTACTTTTAACATTTGGGGACTATATGTTTAAGTCTTTAATCATTTTGAGTTAATTTTTGTAAATTGTGGGAGATAGGGGTCTAGTTTTATTTTCCTACAGGTGTCTATCCAATTGTTCAGAGCACCATTTATTGAAAAGACTGCCATTTTTCTACCGGATTGTCTTGAGACATCTGTCAAAAATCGATTGGCTGTATATTGTATTTATTTCTAGACTCAGTTCTATGTTTCATTGGTTTACGTGTCTGTAGCATGCTGTTTGGGTTATTATGGCTTTATCGTATAAGTCGAAGGCAGATAGTATGATGACTCAAACTTTATTCTTTTTACATACTATTGCTTTGGTGATATGGGGTCTTTTGTGATTCCAAATAAACTTTATAATTTTTTTGTTTCTGTGAAGAATGTTACTGGCTTTTTTATAGAAATTGCATTGAATATGTATATTACATTGGGGAGTAACAATGTTTTAAATATCATGACTCTTCCATTCCATAAATAAGGGATACCTTTCTATTTGTTATATATTTCCTTTTTGACTTATTTCCTCAGTTTTAAAAACAGTTTTCATAGTATAGATCTTTCATCTCCTTGGTTAGATTTATTACTATATATTTTTATTTATTCCTTTACTTTTAAATTAATTTTTTCTGGCTGTTGTAAGTGGGTTGATTTTTAAATTTCTGTTTCAGTCCATGATTGTTAGTGTACAAAGACATTTCAAATTTTTATATGTTGATTTTGTATTTTTTAACTTTACTGAGTTCATTTATCATATCTAATAGATTTTTTGAGAGTTTTTTTAATTGCTGTTTTTTTTTCTGTAGGGTGTGTGCACTTGCAGAAAGACAGAGACAGAGAGACAGAAAGTGAGAAATCACCCCCCAGGGGGGATGGCCACGCTGCAATACCTTCTCTTCCATTCTCCTCTCAGGATCTTGGGTATGCATGCACAAGGGCTCAATGTGAATTTAAGCCACTAGATCTGGGACTCGAACTGCAGTTGACCACATGGCCGTAATAGCTATTATGCCAACTGCTAGTCCCAAGATTTTTATGGCTTCTTCAGGTTATCCTGTGTATATAGTCATGTCACCTGAGAACAGGGACAATTTAACTTCTTCCATTTTAATTTGAATGTCTTTTATTGCTTTTTTTTTTTTTTTTTTTTTTGATTGCATTGTCTGGGACTTCCAGTACTATGTTTGATAGGAGTGGGAAAATAGGCAGAGCATTGATGGGATGGGGAGGTGTGGTGTTATCTGTTGATATTTCAATCAACTGGACTGGGGAGATATGTTCGCATCTTGAAATGTTCACTTTTTTTTCTTTGGAGAGGTTTTTGCTATAGCGTGCGTGTGCTCGCCAGACAGAGAGAGACATAGAGACAGAAAGCAAGAAATCACCCCCCCCCCCCAGAGGGGATGGTCACGCCGCAACCCCTTCCCCTCCATTCACGCCGCAATCCCTTCTCCTCCATTCTCCTTTCGGGATCTTGGGCACGCACGCACGTGTGCTCGGCGTGAGTTTTAAGCCACTGGTCTGGGACGCGAACCGCGATCGACTACGTGGGAGTCCAGCGACATAGCTATTACGCTAACTGCTGGTTCCCATTGAAATGTTCACTTTGTAAGCTAAACAATGTGATTGAATGTATGTAAATCAATCAATCAATTACTTTAAAAAAAGCTAAAAAATAATAGACATCCATTTCGTATTCCATCCTTGTTCTAGAGGAAAAGCTTCCCACTTTTTTCTATTCAATATGTTAGCTATAGGTTCACCATGTATGTCCTTTATTGTGGTAAGACATATATCTTCTATACATATTTTGTTAAGAGTCTTAAAAATGAAGGTATGTTGTACTTTATCAAAAACTTTTTCTGTGTCAAATTGATATGATCACAATTTTTCTTTCCTTCTGTTTAAGTGATGTATTACATTTACTGTTTTGCATATGTTAAACTATCTTTGTATTCTTTGGATAAATCTTACTTGGTCAAGGTGTATAATCCTTTTAATGTATTGTTGGATTTGATTTGCTACTATTTTGTTGAGGAGTTTTGCATCTATATTCATCAAGTATATTGGGGTATGTAATTTTCTTTTTCTGTTCAAATAAAGATAATACACAAATACATGAAAACTAAATAACCTACTCCTGAATGAATTCACAACTACTGAAGAAATAAAAACTGAAATAAAAAGATTCATGGAAGCCAATGATAATGAGTACACAAGTTTCCATAATCTTTGGGACACTGCAAAAA